TCATTCCTGCCTTCCCTTCTTGCTTCTGGTTTCTATAATGTATATACACATATATAGTCACTAGATACTTTCATAAAACTGCTATTATCACCCTTCAGCAAGCTTGTCTTGTGTGCGAGTGTGTGGCTTATAATTGTTTTGAGTCAGGAGTCCCCAGCTGTCAAAATGACATATTGTCTCATTAGTCACTGCCCCTACTGCCTGTCAAAACAATGGGGTCGGATGCTGCTTCCCCCTCCATTCTATCTAATTATCTTTCTCCCTCATTCTATCTCTTTCAATCTGTCTCTCTTTCTCTCTCTTTGTCTATCTCTGTCTCACAGGTACACATAAATACAACTATACATAGTGTAAATTACCTAGGATAACCCAAAAAATCCAGACAAAGTGCTATACTCTGCTTGAAGATGTGAGTAAACGTGATGATGACAGTCTTGTGGCTCTCTCTGAGACAGAGCTAGACGGATAGACAGACAGACAAATGATGATCAGACGAAATCTTTTCCTCCTCCTCCTCCTCCCTCCTCCTTCCTCCTTCTCCTCCTCCTCCTCCTTCTCCTCTCCTCCCCTTCTCTCCCCTTTCTCTCCTCCTCTCCTCCTCTCCTCCTGGCTCTTGACAGATGGACAGCTGCCCCCCTCCCTCCACCCTCGTTTATGCTCATCAAAGGTCAGCTCTTATCAGATGTTATCTCCCCTTATCTTGTCACTGTCATGGGTTGAACTGTTTTCATGCCTCAAGGGAACATATTATTACATATTATTATTATTAGGTATTAGGTATTATTATTATTCTTATTTTTTTCTTATCTTTCTTCTTCCTCCTCCCTCCCTCCTTCCTCCTCCTCCCTCCTTCCCTCTTCCTCCCTCCCTCTTCCTCCTCCCTCCTTCTTCCTCCCTCCCACCTCCTCCCTCCTCCTCCTTTCCTCCCTCCTTCCTTCCTCCTCCTCTTCTTCCTTCCTTCTTCCTCCTTCCTCCTCCTCTCTTCCTCCTCCTCCTCCTCCTCCTCCTCCTCCTCCTCCTCCATTGCTTTTGGTCTCAAACTCCTCGAAATCATGAAATTGATCTTCATTGACACTTCTATCTGTGTTAGAGCATCACTTGGGAAGAGAAGAGTCCCAGATTTGCAGGGAAGTCACATATTTCTTACCGCTAGACATGCTGAAAAAGGACAACTGAAATGGTATTCCCACAATGCACCACTGGCTCCCCGATTTTTTTTATATGATGCACACTGACCATGGAGACCCATTCTCTCACATGTGGGCCTACCAACTTTCTCCTGCTTGATTTGAAGCCGCAAGAATTTATGCGTATAGATACGTCAAACACAGTATCTCCTATGACGTACATATACGACCGCGACAGTCAAAGGGTTAATGGATAATGTACTGTGTATGTGCTTTACATAATGAGAAGCATTTCTTTTATTCATTGGAACCATGGCTAGGGCTAAAAGCAAGCAAGTTAAAACAATAAATGGAGAAAAAGAAATTGGAATGACTTATGCAGCAAGTAGTGCCACCAAACAGTACCAGCAGGTTGGTGTGGTGACCCTGGAAATTTGAAATTATGCTAGCCAAAATTAGTGCCAAATAACTGAAGGAACCGAATAACTGATTGCCGGATTTGTGAGGGAGGACTGTAATATAATAATATCCTTCATTTACTACAAGTACATGTACAAGATATATAGGTCTAGCTGACTTCAGTGACATGCTACTATATAAAAAGCCACTTGTTATGCAGAGCATTTTGGGCAAATTAGGTCATCTTTTTCCCAGGATGCGACCCACACCAATCGACTAAAACCCAGGTACCCATTTTATTGATGGGTGAACATAGACTAACCGGTGTAATGTAACACGGCCAATATTTCCACCCCTTCATGAGGAATCGAGCCCGGACCCTCACTGTGTGAAGCGAGAGCTTTTGCCACCAGACCACGGGGTACCTATAACTGCTTCAGTTTGTAAATTGCTACTGTAACTTGTAAATTACTGCTGTAACTGGTAAATTATAACTGTAACTTGTAAATTACTACTGTAACTTGTAAATAACTGCTGTGATTTGAAAATTACAGCTGTAACTTTTAAATTACAGTGGACCCCCAGTATTCGATATTAATCCGTTCCTGAGAGCTCATCGTATGCCAGAATTATTGAAAGGCGACTTAATTTTCCCCATAAGAAATAATGGAAATCAAATTAATCTGTGCAAGACACCCAGAAGTATGAAAAAAAAGTTTTACCACATGAAATATTAAGTTTAATGCACACAAACTGAAGAAGACATGCACAGTTAGTAGTGCTCTACTAACAACAGAATACATGACACTTACCTTTAATGAAGATCTGGTGATGATTGATGGGATGGGAGGAGGGGAGAGTGTCGAACTTATTGTTTAGAAGGGGAATCCCCTTCCATTAGGACTTGAGGTAGCAAGCCCTTTTCCGGGGTTACTTCCCTTCTTCTTTTAATGCCACTAGGACCAGCTTGAGTCACTGGACTTCTGTCGCACAACATATTTGTCCATAGAGGCCTGTACCTCTCATTCCTTTATGACTTTCCTAAAGTGGTTCACAACATTGTCATTGTAATAGTCACCAGCACGGCTTGCAATAGCTGTGTGAGGGTGATTGTCATCCATAAAGGTTTTCACCTTTGTCCACATTGTACACATTTCTTTAATCTGTGAAGTAGGCAACTTCCTCAATTTCTCTATCTCCTCCTCTGAAGTAGTTTCCTCAGGTCTGGCCTCTTGCTGTTGAAGATGATCTAGCAGCTCATCAGTGGTTAGTTTGTCATTGTCCTCCTCCACCAACTCTTCCACATCCTCCCCACTAACCTCCAACCCCAAGGACTTCCCCAATGCCACAGTGGTTTCCTAAACTGGCATAGGATTCTCAGGGTTAGCCTCAAACCCTTCAAAATCCCTTTTGTCTACACATTCTGGCCACAGTTTCTTCCAAGCAGAGTTCAAGTTCCTCTTAGTCACTCCCTTCCAAGCCTTACCTATAAGGTTTACACAGTTGAGAATATTAAAGTGATCCTTCCAAAACTCTTTGAGTCAATCGAGTTTCTGTGGTCACTTCAAAGCACCTTTCAAACATAGCTTTTGTGTACAGTTTCTTGAAGTTGGAAATGGCCTGCTGGTCCATAGGCTGCAGGAGAGGAGTGGTATTAGGAGGCCAAAACTTGACCTTAATGAATCCCATGTCCCCAGAAAGTCGCTCTGCCAAGTCTGTAGGATGACCAGGAGCATTGTCTAATACCAGGAGGCACTTAAGGTCTAATTTCTTTTCAATTAGGTAATTTTTCACATTGGGGGCAAATGCATGGTGTAACCAGTCATAGAAAAAGTCCCTAGTAACCCATGCCTTACTGTTTGCCCTCCACAGCACACACAAATTAGCCTTGAGGACATTGTTTTGCCTGAACACACTGGGAGTTTCAGAGTGATACACCAATAAAGGCTTCACTTTGCAATCACCACTAGCATTGGCACACATCAGAAGAGTAAGCCTGTCTTTCATAGGCTTATGTCCTGGGAGTACCTTTTCCTCCTGAGTAATGCAGGTCCTGCTTGGCAATTTCTTCCAAAACAGGCCTGTTTTGCCGCAATTAAACACTTGTTCAGGTTTCAATTCTTCACTGTCTATGTAATCCTTGAATTCCTTCACATATTTTTCAGCTACTTTTTGGTCCGAACTGGCAGCCTCACCATGCCTAATCACACTATGTATGCCACTACGATTCTTAAATCTTTCAAACCAACCTTTGCTGGCCTTAAACTCACTCACATCACCACTAGTTGCAGGCATTTTTTCAATTAAATCCTCATGCAACTTCCTAGCCTTTTCACAAATGATCGCTTGAGAGATGCTATCTCCTGCTATCTGTTTTTCATTTATCCACACCAATAACAGTCTCTCAACGTCTTCTAACACTTGCGGTCTCTGTTTCAAAAACAAAGTTGCACCTTTTGCAACAACAGCTTCCTTGATTGCCGTTTTCCTGGCCACTGTAGTAGCGATGGTTGATTGGGGTTTTGTATACAACCTGCCAGCTTTGACACACACACACCACTTTCGTACTTTGCAATTATCTCTTTCTTCATTTCAATAGCCATTAGCACCCTTTTTCTCGAAGGGTTGGCACTAGAAGCTTTCTTGGGGCCCATGGTGACTTATTTTGCAGAAACAAGCACCAAAAACACTGTGATAATATGGAATGTACCGAATGTATGTTTAGATGCGAGCACACTGACTGGCTTGTAAACATTGGCACGCACGGGGCAGTTCAGGCTACATGTGGACACATCTCAGACGAATCGCATGTGGCAGGTTTTTTAACAAGTGGCGAGGCAAAAATTTTGCGTTAAAATGTATTGAATACCGGATTTATCGGATACCGATGCCATCGAATTCCGGGGGTCCACTGTACTCTAAACTACTACTACATCATGGGACTTGTATTAATGACTATCATTGTATTTGTTCTGTATTTCTTGCATAATTCTGTATTTCTTGTACACATTGTGCATACTGTTGAGCCATTAGGTTACAATTTTTAATATCCTTTACTGCTTACAAATACACACGTACACACAAATACTAAAAAATACACACAAATACAGCAGCGTATTGTATTAAAGAACAATTCACAATATACAAGTAACCAGCACTTAGAGAGGAAATATTGGGCAATGTTTTTGCATGTTTTGAACCATCAAGTAAGAACGTTTTGCCCCAGGATGGAGCAAAACCTCGTGTACAATGTTCCTTCTAAGTGCAGGTCAGTTGTACACTGTGCCAGCCACTGGATTCTGACTTCTATCCAAACTACAGTTGTTTGTAGCTTATGTCTCGGACAAATTTTCATTGATATAAATTCACAGAAATTGGCTAATGAATATATTGAAAAAAAAAGTCTGTTGAGATTTTGGAAAAAAAAAAAGGTTTAAAATCAGTATTTTAATCACATTTTTTTTTTTTTGTCAGATGTTGGGCCAGCAAGTGTAATGGTGGGGAACCTGGTGCAGGGCAACAGACTGGCCAGTGCCCAGGGCAGAGACATGGGACTCATGGATAATGAAGATGGTATGAGAAGGGTAAGTTGTATGAGATGAGGAACTTGTATGTTGTTGTATGAGATAAGGAAGTTGTATATTGTTGTATGAGACAAGGAAGTTCTCTTTTGTATGAAACGAGGAAATTCTCTGTTGTATGAGACAAGGAAGTTGTATGTTGTTATATGAGACGAGGAGGTTCTCTGTTGTTGTATGAAATGAGGAAGTTCTGTTGTTGTATGAAATGAGGAAGTTCTGTTGTTGTATGAGACGAGGAAGTTTTGTTGTATGAGACGAGGAAGTTCTGTGTTGTATGAGACGAGGAAGTTCTGTGTTGTATGAGACGAGGAAGTTCTGTGTTGTATGAGACGAGGAAGTTCTGTGTTGTAATGAGACGAGGAAGTTCTGTCTTGTATGAGACGAGGAAGTTCTATGTTGTATGATGAGAAGTTCTGTGTTGTATGAGATGAGGAAGTTCTGTGTTGTATGAGACGAGGAAGTTCTGTGTTGTATGAGACGAGAAGTTCTGTGTTGTATGAGACGAGGAAGTTCTGTGTTGTATGAGACGAGGAAGTTCTGTGTTGTATGAGACGAGGAAGTTCTGTGTTGTATGAGACGAGGAAGTTCTGTGTTGTATGAGACGAGAAGTTCTGTGTTGTATGAGACGAGGAAGTTCTGTGTTGTATGAGACAGGAAGTTCTGTGTTGTATGAGACGAGGAAGTTCTGTGTTGTATGAGACGAGGAAGTTCTGTATTGTATGAGACGAGGAAGTTCTGTATTGTATGAGACAAGGAAGTTCTGTGTTGTATGAGACAAGGAAGTTCTGTGTTGTATGAGACGAGGAAGTTCACTAAACGTGTCAAGATTTAATGAAATAACCGGGCACAAGCCCAGTGCTCAAGGGTTATTAAAGTGAATGTCTAGCTTTTGGTAGGCACCCAGATAAGTCTAGGCCTTTCATTTTGCACTCATTACTTCGTCAGGAGCTGGCATTGTTCCAGAAATGAGTAGAAGGTCCAGCATCAATTCTAATGCAGTTGTAAGGATTCATAGCCTCAGAGAATTACATAAAAACAGATTTCTATTCAAATTCCTGTATTTGTCCTTGTTGATGCTGCTGCTTGACTATCACATTGCACCTGGTTTCAGCATCCCCAGTTCATCGCTGACATCCTCAAGTGGCGAGCCACCACCACAGAGAACCATGAAATCCTCACTCTTTTGAATTCTAAGGGCCAAGTTGCTACCTCCCTTACCTGCGCCCAGTTACACAAGAAGGCGGAACGAGTGGGCTGTTTACTGCTGGAAAAAGGTCACATTAACACGGGTGACCATGTGGCACTCATCTACCCTCCTGGGGTGGACCTTATAGCATCGTTCTATGGTTGTTTGTATGTTGGAGCTGTGCCAGTCACTATACGACCTCCTCACCCCCAGAACTTACAGTCTACAGTCAATACAGTCAGAACTGTGGTTGATGTGTCCAAGTCTTCAATTATATTGTCCACGCTCACTGTTATTAAGCTCCTAAAGAGTAAGGTAAGTGTGGGAACCCCCCCCTCTCTCTCTCTTTATCTCTATCTATATATCTCTCTCTCTCTCTCTATCTCTCTCTCTCTCTTTTTTTTTTTTTTTTTTTTTACACAGGGTTTGACAAGGTTAAGGATCCCTAGCTTTATTGACAGCTATATTACAGGTTAAGGATTCCTAACTTTATTGGCAAGCTAAGAGCTGTTACCTACATCAGCTCATTTGAAAGCATTTTTATTGTTATAGACATACAAGTAGGGAACAGGATGAAGTTGGGGCCATCTGTGGGCCAGCATTTTCATTTGATCAACTAACTTTATCTCGTTGACATCATTATGCTGTACGAATGTGTTCCATACTCGAGTCATCCTGGGTATATAGGATCTCAGATGGAGTGAAGTTCTGGAGAAGGGTACAGCCAGAGTGAAGTTGCTGCTTTCTGCCCGTCTTGTGGCATAAAAGCTTGTTTCACGCTGTCCTCGAAGTGGATCCAAGTGTGGTACTTTGACAATATTGGCCTTGTACATAACAGTAAGACCACCCACATCCCTCCTATGTTGAAGACTCTGCTGAAACGACAGATCTATCCAGGATGGGTCCAGGCGAGAGATGAGACGTCTTGCTCTGTTCTCTACTCTGTCAAGCAGTCGCAGATGAGAGGGGAGCAGGCAAACCAAGAAAGTGGAGCATACTCAAGGTGCGAGCGTACTTGTGCCTCGTACAGAATCTTGCAACCCCTACTGTCAAGCAGATGCGAGATACGGCAAAGTGCTGTAAGCTTCCTGGCTGCCTTGTTTGCAAGATTTACAATATGGTTCTTCATGGTTAGTTTGGAGTCAAATTTCACCCCAAGGATATTAACTTCTTCTCCAGGTGCCAACACCCTCCCATTCGTCCTTACTACTGCACCAGCATTACCATCATGGTGCCTAGAGACTATCATCATTTGCATTTTCTCAGGTGCAAATGTTACTTGCCATCTATTTCCCCAAGCTGATATAGCTCTCAGCTGGTGATTGATGTAGCTTAGAGCAGCTGGCATTTCTTTTCTTGGATAAGTGAATGTCAGTGTACAGTTGTCTGCATATGCATGAGATTCTGGGATGAGATGTAGAAGGCCATTGAAGTAGACATTCCTTAACAATGGTCCCAGTACGCTTCCTTGTGGAACACTTGCCAAAATAGGATATCTTGCTGATTCCGTTCCATTGAGAACTACACTTAGAGATCTACCATGAAGGTAATCACCGAGGAGACATAACGTAGAGCCTGCAATTCCCAGTGCTTGAAGTTTTGCTAAGAGGCCCTGGTGCCACACCCGGTCAAAAGCGCCAGCAATGTCCAGTGCTACCACACAGCTGACTTTGGATTCATCCATGACGGGTGCCACTTAATGGAGAGGTTTAACAACAGATCAGCAGCAGAGTAACCTTTCCTGAAGCCATATTGATGATCACAAAGTAGTGAGTGGTAGTCAAAAAACTGTCATTTGTCTTGAGATTATTGTCTCAAGGATCTTACCAGTGATTGACGGGAGTGACACTGGTCTGTATTGCTGATTTCTGCTCTGCTCTTCTTTTTGTGAACATGACTACATTTGCCTTTTCCACAGAGTGGCCATTTACACTGTACTAGGCAGTGCTGAAAGATGCGAGTTAGAGTGCTGCTAGCTGGGCTGCACATCTTCTCAGCAATTTTGGGGCTCAACTTGTCTGGGCCCCACAGCCTTTCTTGGTCAAGCGATTTAAGAAAGAAATGCACCTCCTCCTGCCTTATTGTCACCACTGACAGTTTTGACACAATTCTTGCAGCTACCCAAAGGGAGGGTCCCTTGCTGGATCAGGGACTTGCATTTTGTAGCAAAGTGTTCAGCAAAGAGGTCCGCCTTCTCTTGACTACTATAGAGGTGGTCCCATCCTGTCGATTTAGAGGTGGAATGAGTTCATCAGGCAGATAACCTTGTCTGTCCTTGACCAGGACCACCAGTTTTGACCCTACCCTACCTGATGCTAGCTTTCTCTTAGTGTCCACCTCCTATTTAGCAATGGCCACTTTTGAACGTCACCCATGCCTACAGGCTTGCCTGTGCAATTTCCTGTTATAGGTGGTAGGATGTCTCTTATTCCTTTGCCATGCTTGTATTTAGCAGTAGCAGCCTCTCTACAATGAAAGCCAAACCAAGGCTGATCTGTAGGCTTCGTCACATATTGCTCAGAGGAAGGGTGTTCTTGTGTAGATTAAGGATGTGTTCAGTGAAGGTTTTCATTTGGGTTTTGTCAACATCACCTTGGAGAAGAGCATTCCAATCGGTGGTGGGAGCTCAGAGCAAAAACGGCTGGCCAATCCCTTTCTTTCCCATAGCCAGGTTGTGCGTGTGGACTCCTCAACCTCGTTCTGTTGGGATCTTAAGTTGTCGTAAAAACAGCCTTGTGGTCAAACGATCCAACGTACCGAGGGGTTGACAAGTGACTATGCCTTCGCCAGATCACCACTACGGGTCAAGGGAGGAGCCAGAGATTGAGTAGGGAAATCAACAAAGTTTCTCAGGGTCAAATACTGCAAGAAGGTCTTTCAAAGTCCCTCTGTTAAGGTGTTGGTTGAGGTCACCAACATTATGATATGTTGACAGTTGTGTTGTAGCAAAGGGAGTCCATATTTTCCATTAGGAAGTTGATAGGGTCTGCGTGTTGCCACTGGGGTCTGTACATTGCACATGCTAGTACAGAGGTACTAGTGTTTATGCAGAGGTTGAAGAACACATTTCAAGAGTGTAGGGTGGCAACATCAATGTGCTGGGCATGAACACTTTTAGAGAGGCACACAGCAACACATCCTCCTTGCCCTTGCCTGTCTCTTCTCATCCATGAGGTGTAGCTAACAATTCTTGCAAAATTTCTGGAGTCCTGTCATACAAAATGTTTCAAAAAACAGCTATCATGTCGGGACGTCGAGTGTTCACAAAACTGTGTGAGAGCTCTCCAACATTAGTAATGAAACCTCTAATGTTGGCCAACAGGATGCTGATAGACTGGCTTCTCATGATGTCTCTCTCTATCTCTATCTCTCTCTCTGTCTCTATATATATCTCTATCTATCTCTCTCTCTCTCCTCTCTCTCACTCTCTCTTTTCTCCTTCTCTCTCCTCTCTCTCTCTCTCTCCTCTCTCTCTCTCCCCTCCTCCCCTCTCTCTTCCCTCTCTCCTCTCCTCTCTCTCTCTCTCCTCTCTCTCTCTCTCCTCTCTCTCTCTCTTTCCCCTCTCTCTTTTCTCCTCTCCTCTCTCTCTCTCCTCCCCCTCTCTCTCTCTCCCTCTCTCTCTCTCTCCTCTCCTCCTCCTCTCTCTCCCTCTCTCTCATCTCTCTCTCCTCTCTCTCTCCCTCTCTCTCTCTCTCTCCTCTCTCCTCTCTCCTCCTCTCTCTCTCCTTCTCCTCTCTCTCTCTCCCTCTCTCTCTCTCTCCCTCTCTCCCTCTCCTCTCCTCCCCTCTCTCTCTCTTTTCCTCTCCTTCCCCCTCTCCTCTCTCCTCTCTCTCCTCTCTCTCCCCCTCTCTCTCTCTCCCCTCCTCTTCTCCTCTCTCTCTCTCCTCTCTCTCTCTCTCTCTCTCTCTCTCTCCCTCCCTCTCTTCCTTCTCTGTCATGTAGAAAAATTTCAGATCTGTAGATAATAATTAATAATAATACAAACAATAATTAATAATAATAATTAATAATAAAAATTTAAAAATAATTTTATTACTTTTTGTAAAATTACATATTTTTTGTAAAATTAAACATTTTTGTGAAATTATATATATTTTGTTGTAAAATTTTATAATATAAAATTTTTTTAAATTACATGTATACATTTTGGCATCTTACAGGAAGAAAATTTGACAGTGGAAAAAAAAATGGCCACCGATCTTGGATACGGGAAAGACCTGCCAAAGAAACGCCTGCCCTCATCTACAAGGGGCCTACGCCGGAGATGATTGCCTATTTGGACTTCAGCGTGTCGACGACAGGCATGCTGGCGGGCATTAAGCTGTCACACGGGGCAGCGACCTTTTCTGTGTCTTAGCATGAAGGTGTGTTTGTGTATGTGTGGACAGTAGTCAATGCAGGGAGGTCTATCCTGTCATGTAAACACCAGGTAGTGGGTTTGTGGATGGTAGCATCCAGGGGGTACTATCCTGTCAAAGTGAAACACCAGGTAGTAGGTTAGTGGATGGAGTCATCCAGGGAGGTTACTATCCTGTCCCTGTGAAACACCAGGTAGTAGGTTAGTGGATGGTAGTCATCCAGGGGGGTACTATCCTGTCATGTGAAACACCAGGTAGTAGGTTAGTGGATGGTAGTCATCCAGGGGGGTTTCTATCCTGTCATGTGAAACACCAGGGATAGGTTAGTGAATGGTAGTCATCCAGGGAGGTACATCCTGTCATGTGAAACACCAGGTGTAGGTTAGTGATGGTAGTCATCCAGGGAGGTAAATATCCTGTCATGTGAAACACCAGGTAGAAAGGGTTTGTGGATGGTAGTCATCCAGGGAGGTACTATCCTGTCCCTGTGAAACACCAGGTAGTAGGTTAGTGGATGGTAGTCATCCAGGAGGTACTATCCTGTTTATGTGAAACACCAGGTAGTAGGTTAGTGGATGGGAGTCATCCAGGGAGGTACTATCTGTCATGTGAAACACCAGGTAGTAGGTTAGTGGATAGTAGTCACCAGGGAGGTACTATCCTGTCATGTGAAACACCAGTAGTAGGTTAGTGACAACATAGTTCAGATGTACCATTGAAATGTAACATACTCCCCTCATCCTTCAAGTACAGGGACTGTACTTCCCACCTCCAGAACTGTAACATCCTCACTCATCCTTCCCGAGTACAGGTACTGTACTTCTCACCTCCAGAACTGTAACATCCTCACTCATCCTTTAGAGTACAGGCACTGTACTTTCCCACCTCCAGAACTGAACATCCTCACTCATCCTTCATATAAAAGGTACTGTACTTCCCCCCTTCCAGAACTGTAAC